CGTGAAGTTCTGGCGGATGCCTCGTGCCCGACAGTAGGCTCGCAGAAGGCCGGAGGAGAACTCTCCGCCTCTGTCCGAGTGCAGACGCAAAACAGGAAAGTCCGAGCCGAAGCTCCGCCTGAGCTGGAGTCGAGCTGCGCGGATCCAGTCAATCAACACCTCAGTGACCTCACCCTTGCTGCGCAAGGGGAAGACTGTGGTGTAACGCGAGTAGTCGTCAACCACCAGCAGGAAGTAGCGCTCGTGACCCTGTCCACGGACGCGGGCTGGGCCCCACACGTCCATGTGAAGCGTCTGCATTGGGGCCTCCGTCGGAGGAAACGGGGAGGAGTGAGGGGTAGCCCGCAGGCGACCCTCAACACAGGGGACACAGGGAGGGCCAGGCCCCGGAGGAAGGGGAGGGAGGGACCGGGGAAGGCCAGAGACAAGAAGGCGAGAGGCCATGCCCCGGAGACGAGGCAGGGAGGGGTGACCCATCCTGTGGTGCCACAGGAGGGTCTCGTGGGACAGGAGGCGACACGAGCAGGGGGCAGACTCAGGACCAGACCTGGACGCTGCAGCAAACACCTGACCCGACGCAGCTACCTGACCAGACGCAGGAGGAGGAGACGGAACAGTGAGTGTGTACAGGCTCGACCCTGGCCCACGTGTGAACGTGGTCAAGTGTCGACCCGTGTCCGCGTCCGTGCAGTGGGTGTCCTGTCGGCGTGCAGGGGTGAACTGGTCGACCCCTGCATCCTGTAGGTCAGCACCCGCCACCAAGTTTGTAGAGAACGAGGGGAGGTAGAGACCGGACAGGGCGCCAGACGGGACCGCAGGGCACGGCAGGACAGTGGAGTAGCGAGCCAGAACAGGACCCCCAGAGGGGTCCGTCAGGGAGACCGCCACTGGCCGACTAAGCGGCGTGAGTGTGGTGCGGTCTCGAAAGAAGGAGCGAGACGCCCCTGAGTCAAGAGTGAAGGTGAGAGAGGGCGGAGCCGACGCAGTACGTGAGAGAGCAGACTCACCAGCACCTGAGGACACAGACTCACTGGCACCTAGAGCGACAGCCTCACCAGCACCTGGAGCAGCAGCCTTAACAGCACCTAGAGCCGCAGTACCAATGCCGGGGTTGGGCGGGAAACACCGGTAACAGTCACCCTCCTCACTAATAGTCACAGCATACATGGCAGCAAGAATAGCATCAAAGTCAAGATCAAAGATAGCTACTCCTGCCCTAGACAGCTGGTCCCTGCGAGGGATCTTAGAGGCGTCAGGAAACTGGCGGCGCCAAGCGTCAGTCAGGCGGCCGAAGCAGCGCTGGGCGGAGTGTGGACCACCACACGGCTCACCCGCACGGTCGCCAGTGCGCAAGACGTAGGTGCACGGACCAGTACCCCCACCCCTCTGACGTGCAGCGTACCACTCACGGAGCTGCTGCGGGGAGAGGGTCTCCTGACCACGCTGCTGCCGCTGCTGCTGGCGCTGACCGCCACCGGAGCCACTCCTCTGCGACGAGCCACGACCTCCTCCGCCGCCTCCTCCGCCGCCGCCGCCACCACCTCCGCTGCCACCGCCACTCCCACCATCGCTGCCGCCACCGCCGCCTCCGCCTCCACTCCCACCACCACCACCGCTGCCACCCCCGCCTCCACTGCCGCCGCTGACACCTCCACTCCCGCCACCACTCCCGCTACCACCCCCACCTCTTCCGCTGCCTCCACCGCCGCCTCCACCGCCCCCGCCGCCTCCACCACCGCTCCTGCCCCCCTTGCCCTTGCCAGAGCGACGTCTCCCACTGGGGGCAGACGCCGCACCGACCGACTCAAAACCAACTAGGCCGGCCGTAGCAGCAGAGGCGACAGAGGGCAGGAGGGGGGAGGGGGAACACCCCTCAAAGATGGGGGTGCGCGGGTCACCACGAGAGGCCCCTACAGCGAGAATGCTCTTCTCGGCTGCTAGGAGGGACTTCTCGAGGAGGTCAACAGTGAGAGTGGTGGGGCAGACTGAGAGTAAGTCGTCCCTGACTCCGCGAAGGGAGTCAGGGAGGCGGGCGACAATGTAGTAGAGAGTGAAGTACTTGGGGGGGGGGTTCTTGGCGCAGAACTCAGCAGGAAGCGCAGCGCGGAAGCGAGCGTCACTAGTGCGCAGGTGGGTAATGAGGTCGGCGACTGTGGCAAAAGAAGCAAGGTCGGGAAAGAGGTACGGTAGCATGAGGCGGCTCAGTGCAGCAGTGGCAGGGGTGGAGTAGCGTGCAATAACGGCGTCGTACAAGGTCTGAGCACTCTTGTACGACCCAAAGTGTGCACGCTCAGAGGGAGGGAGGTGGCGACGCACAGCAAGACGTGCAGCAACATCGCGTGTGGCCCACTGTGAGCGAACAGTGGCATCCTCAGTAGCAGCAGGGGCGGGAGAGGCACCAGAAGTGAGATCAAAGAGAGAGAGGCCGTCAGCTCTGTCGCACTGTAGGAAAAGCAGCAGGTCGTCTACCCACACGTCAAAGTCGACGGCTCTGCCCTCAGCGTCGAAGGTGAGGACACTGGGGGTAGCCATGACAGCAGTAGGGTGAGGGCAGTGCGTAGAGTAAAGCTCAGTGCTCACCAGACAGGGCAGTGCAGGCGGCTCGGGCGGCTCGGGCGGCTCGGGCGGCTCGGGCGGCTCGGCAGCTCGGGCGGCTCGGGCGGCTCGGCTGCTGGGGCGGCTCGGCTGCTGGGGCGGCTCGGCTGCTGGGGCGGCTCGGCTGCTGGGGCGGCTCGGCTGCTGGGGCGGCTCGGCAGCTGGGGCGGCGCAGTTGCTGGGGCGGCGGGGCCGGGAGATGCAGCTGCGGGGCCGGGAGATGCAGTGGCGGGGCCGTCGGAGGGGACGGCGGGGCCGTCAGGTGCAGCGGCGGGGCCGTCTGAAGCAGCGGCGGGGCCGGCAGAGGGGACGGCGGGGCCGTCGGGTGCAGCTGCGGGGCTGGCAGAGGGGACGGCGGGGCCGTCAGAAGGGGACGGCGGGGCCGTCAGAAGGGGACGGCGGGGCCGTCAGGTGCAGCTACAGGGCCGGCAGGTGCAGCGGCGTGGCCGGCAGGTGCGACGTCGGGGCCTGCAGAGGCAGGCGATGAGGCCGCGCGGGCGGCGCTAGGGGGGGGGGGCGCGAGGGCGGCGCGACGCAGCAGAGCCGCGAGGGGGGCGCGACGCGGCCGTAAGGCCAGCGCGACGTGGCCCAGGCCGCGCGCGCGAAAAAAAAAAAAAAAAAAAAAAAAGGGTCGCGCGCGCGACTTGCGGGGGCCACAAGGGCAGCGCGAGAAGGACTAGGGGGAGCGCGCTTCGGGGAGAGAAGGGCGCGCTCCGGGCGGCGAAAATTTCGTGGGTGGGCCCTTAAAAAAATGGTCCTTAGGAAGGACCCGCTCTATACCATGTTGAGATTAGAGAGAGAATGAGTGCACTATGAAATGAAACAAGTACAAGTACCAACCCTAATTGGGTTGTACCCCCTATGGGCTACCCCACTACAGCCTAAATGTATGCATCAGTAATATAATCATCTGACACGCACTGCACTACTTCGTGAGCACACCGACGATCGGCCTAACTTACTACAAGGGCGAAGCTACGACGACGAAACTAATCGGCTACGTCGATGCTGACCATGCTGGCGATTCTGATAACAGGCGTTCTCGTACCGGCTACGTCTATCGTCTCGAGCCTATCGGGCCTATCTCCTGGCAGTCGAGTAAGCAGGAACTAATCGCTCTCTCTTCAGCTGAAGCAGAATATATCGCCCTCTGCTCAGCCACCAAGGAAGGACTCTACCTTCGCGAGCTGCTGGAAGAAGCAAAGTTAGCCGAGTTACCCAACTTCACCCTGTTCTGCGACAACCAATCTGCAATTCGCATCGCCAACAAAAGCGGATTCGCGAACAGAACGAAGCATATTGCTCTGCGATACTTCTTCGTAAAGGACGAAATCGAGAAAGGGAAACTCGAATTATCCTACTGTCCCACGTCCGAGATGGCAGCCGATTATTTGACAAAGAAACTCGGAAAACAGAAGTTCGAGTACTGCATGCTGCTGACTGGACAAGGCCACGTCACCATCAGCGACACTCCAGAGGCGAAGGGGAGTGTTGGGAACAATAAGTCTTAAGGCGCCTCTGTCGTGTCGAAACTCAGGACACTAGCGAAGCAGCCCAAATCGAAGCATCGCGAGTCAACCCTCGGAGGTTAGGGTAACCGCCTAGAGGTTAGGGTAACCGCCTAGAGGTTACGGGAAAGTCAAAGGTCAGCGACCTTTGACTCGACAATTACAGCGCGACAGCAAGGACACACAACTGACTCGACATTGAGCAGTTGCCCGAGTCGCACTGTATCGAATCGCAACAGTAAAACGGTTTAAATCTATCTATTCGTATTCCTTGTACTCTTATATAAACCTTGTATTTGCTTGTTTAATCCAACTTACTTTGCTCTCACATACTAGTGCAAGGTGGTTCAACCACTCTGTATTACAACGCTTCCGCTATTACAATCCTACTTAGTCCTTAAACTCTACAAAGATCCTAGGGCTTCTCAGCCCAACACATTGCACCCGTAACACAGCTACAGAAACGACTCTCCGTGGTCTGATGCGTTGCTGCATTTGATTGGCCAGCAACAGGGCTGCTAGATTCTGCTGTACAAGATTGAGCAGCTACCAGCCTTGTAGGCAATTCTGTACACCCTTTCACACTTTGTTTTTTGTGAAGATGTACGCTCAACATGCATCTGGATGTAGTAAGGTTGACTGAGGCAATTTCGTATATATTGTTTTGCCCTTCAAGCTAAACCTGAAGAGCTTCAAGCATTTCCCTGTCCCATAATCCTCCTCCCAACCCTTCAGCCTTGGGCTTGAACCGTAGAAGTATCACATCCAATCCCATTCTCTAATCAAATCAGTGTGGGTGCAATTTTACGGCACCCCATATTCCCAAAATAAGCTAACGATCCTACCATATCTCAACCCACAACCACGAAAATCACCCATCAACCCCCCCTCCAGCCCCTAGAGATCCACGCGGCATGGGGCGACAGACAAGCCAAGGTCATAAAACACAGTGGCTCGTTGCGACCGGCCCAGCAGCGGGCGCGTGAAGCACCGCAGCTCAAACACAAACCTCGAGAACGCATCTGTGGACGAACCCATGAACACCGCAGCCTCCTTCGCAACCCCCTGCTCTAACGCCGTCTGCACCTCCCCCTCGGGAAACCGGCTGCTGACGTCACTGATGAGGTCATCTCTGGTTACCACCTGGTACGACTCTGCGAGCTCCCGGAGAATGGCAGTGCGGTGTGGCACGGGGGCAATGATGACATAGAGGAGCGTTCTGGACGGGTCCAGGAGAGTCAAGAGCGCCTCACGAGCCGCCTGCAGGCTTGCAGCAGCAAGAGCAGCTCCTGCTGACCCTCCTGCTGCATCGGGTTGTGGGGCCTCGAGCGTCAAGTGCAAGGCGGCAAAGTGGAAGCGGGAGAGGTCAGAGAAGCGCGCCTGGTAGGCCTTGCGCAGGAGGTGCAGCAGCTGAGTGGTCACGGATGCTATGGGTGGTACCACTCGCAGTGCTGCCAATGCGTTCTTCCTCACCCTCCCCTGCTGCTGCTGCTGCTGCGGTTGCTGGGAGGTGGTGAAGGAGATGGGGTCTGAAGAGTTGTACACCAGCAGCCGCACCTGAGGGGGAGGTTGGGAAGATAGGGGTTGGTTAGGAGGAGAGGAGAAGCCGTTGTGAGATGAGTGTTGTGGGTTCGTAATACAGAATGGGTAGCAGGTGACCGGAGATTGGGGAGAAAGACTGAGTTTTGTGCACACGCACCTCACATCCGTAACACCCCTTCACACACTCCCTCCACACACATCCTCTCACGCCCCGCACCTCGCCCTTCTTGGTCTTGCGGCCCATGGATTGCAACCACTCCGCCAGAGCTGCACTCTCAGCATCCCCGCTGGCAGCCACGATGCCACGTGGGATGCGCTGTGCGATGCCACCTGGCAGCGCCAGCAAGGCGTCCACGTCATCTCCTGACACCCCTGTAGGCAGCCGGTCCCAGACGCTTCCCGGAAGCTGCGGCACCACCCAGATTCCTGTGAGGGGGAAGAGGTGGAGGGGGGAGGTGCCGGGAGGAGGGGGCGGGACAATGAGAAGGGGTTGATGCGGGAGCAAGATAGGGCAGAGCACTCAAGGAAGGGACTGGGGGAATGTGGAAGGCAAGAGAAGAGAAGTCAGCCTGAGAAAAGAAGGCAAAAGGGAAGGCGAGGGGGGTTGTACCTGAGGAGCAGTACATCTGCAGTTGATGTGGCATGGCATGGCGTTGCAGCAGCAGCAGGGGCAGCAGGAGAGGCAGCAAGAGCGACAGCAGACGACGCCGTGTGGGAGAGGACACATGGAGGACGGGGGAGGAGGGGAGGAGGGGGGGTTGGAGGGAGAAATTAATGACAACGAGAACGCATGCAAAATATGTGCTGCTGCTCGATGAATGATCAGGAGCACATGCACCAACACACTGTGTGTGCCCTCCTCCCCCTCCCCACACACACACTTTGACAGGCACGCCACGCCAGAGTATACCCGAAAGCCTTATCGTCCACCGAATTCCACCCTCTCTTCACTGCACCCCTGCGCACGCACTCACCCATGCACACCCATACACACCCACGCACCCACGCACACTCTCTCCCATCCCCCCCGGTTCCCTCCACCTGGCACGGCAAGACTCACATGCGTGATGAAGAAGTGAGTGCTGAACAGCCTCTCCATCCCCGTCTCCTTCAACCCCTGCTCCCTCCCCTGCTGCTGCCCCTCCTGTCCCGCCTGCCCCTGCTGCGCCGGCCCCTGCTGTCCTTGCTGCCCCTGCTGCCCCTGCCCCTGTTCCTGCGGCTCCACCTGCTGCTCCACACCACCGGTCGCTGCCCGTGTCACCAGCGGTGGCAGCACGAGCACAGCGCCAACAGCCTTAGCCACCCACACGGCACGCAGCAGCGCCTGCTCCTGCGCCACCAGCCCTGCCGGCCGCCCCTGCATCAACAGGTACGGCCACCTGGATTGCTCCGCTGTGGGGGAGAAATGTGAGGGGAAGAGGGGATTGAAAAAGACGGGTTAGTGTGGGCGAGCCATAGGAAGAGACAAGGGAAAGGGGAGGGGGGGTGGGAGAAGGAGAAGGGAGGGGAAGGGGATGGTGAGGAGCGTGTGGAAGGACGGTGGCAAGTACGGGAAAGGGGAGTGGTGAAGGGAAGGGAGGAAAGGGTGCGCAAGGGATGGCGTGTGGCGTGTGGCGTGTGACGTGTGGCGTGTGGTGTGTGACGTGTGGCGTGTGGCGTGTGGCGTGTGGCGTGTGACGTGTGGCGTGTGACAGGCATTCAGGGTAGCTGTGTGGGGCGAGTGAATCATGCACGCGCACATGCTGTACCAACCCATACCATGCCATGACATGCCGACCCATCACGTCCTTCCCCCCTTCTCACCCATGCGCTGCACTTTCGTGTGGTCCACACACGCTTGGAACGGCGCTGCCATCTCACTGTCCGCTGCCACATGCCCTGCCCGCCCTCCCCGCGTTCCCTGCCCTCCCTGCCCCTGCTGCGGCCGCTGATTCGGGTACCGTTCCTGCTGTGGCTGCTGCTGATGTTGTCCCTGCTGCTGCTGCCCCACCTGCCCTGCTGTGCTCGGGAGACGGCCCCTTCCCTCCTGGAATGAGCCGGCTTGCACCATCACGCTCATTCCCCCACTCCCGTCCGCGCCCCTACCACCGCCTACACCTGCACCTACTCCGCCTGCTGCTGCACCCTGCGCACCACCATCACCGGAATCGCCGCTGCCATGGTGGTTACCAGCGGAAGCGGCGGCAGCAGCAGCGGCGGCGGAGGAGGAGGCGGAGGCGGCGGCGGAAGCGGAGGGGCGGAGCCATGGCGTATCGGGGGGCGGAGGTTCGCAGTTCGGCAGCCGCGCCGCTCTGTGCTGCCCCCCGCCAGGCGCGTTCTGCGGAAGCGGGGGGAAGGAGAGGGGAACGACGGGGGAAGACGCGGATGAAGCGGGGGTTGGAGACGGGAATGGCGACGGAGGTAGGGGGCGATGGAGAGAGGAGGAAAGGTGGGGTACGAAGCGGAAAGGGCAAAACGAGCCTAACAGTCTATGAGGACAAGTCACACATTCTCCATCCCTCCCCTTGCGAAAAGCTTTGCACTCACTCCTTCCCCCCTCTTTCCCCTTTTCCCCCTTCCCTTCTTTCCCCTCCTTCTCCATTTCCCGCTTTCCCCGCTCCCTTCCCCCTCGTCATCCCCCAGTCCCCCCATCTAGAGCTCACCGCAGCAGCGAGCGGAACGGCCTTGTCGCACGTGATGGTCGCAGGCGACAGCTTGGCGACGGTGCGGGCGGTCGTAGGGTCGAGCTTCGAGAACACGTCCACGACAGGCAGCGACGACGGCACTACGCTCACGCGCGCACTCCCCCGCGCGCCTACGCCTGCGCCTGTCTCTCCGTCTGCGCCTTCCGCGCCCCTCATTTCTCCCAGGCCCTCTATGCGGAACTCCTGCGCCCCGCCTTGCGCCTGCGCCTCCTCCGCGAGCTCAGCTTGTTCTTCCCCCGCTGCTGCGCCTTGCGCCTGCGCGTGCTGCTGCTGTTCCTGCATCAGCACCTGCTGCTCCTCCGCTTGCTCCTGCTGTTGCGACTCCATTACCGCGCTCGCTTGCGCGGATCCCCCTGCTTCCCCCTCTCCCCTCTGCGCCCCCGCCTCGTCCGCGCCCTCCGCTTTCCCTAGCTCCGCCGCGCGCTGCTCCGCACCAACCGCCTGCGTCTGTCCCTGCGCGCCGATACCGAACGGGCGGAGCTTCTGGAACTGCTGCAGCGGCGCGGTCCGCGCGTCCCCCCTGCGCCGCTGGTGCGGTGTCTGCAGAAGCGGCTGTTGCGGCGTGGATGACGCCGCAGATGGCGCCGCGGATTCCGGCGCCGACGACTGCTCGTTCTGACGATGCGCCGCGAGCAGCTTCTGCTGGTGCTCGAGCTGCCGCTGCAGCGCCGCCAGCTGCTCCGAGTCGCTCGCCGGCAGTAACGGAAACACTCCGATGGTTCGCGGCTCGTTCTCTGGTGGCATAGCACGGTACGGTGGGGAGTGGGAGAGAGAGGGGAGATGAGAGACTGGAGTAGATTTGGGGATGTCGGAAAGACTGGGATAAAGAGAGGAGGGGAAGAAGAGCCATGTTCCCTGAGGGAGGGCGGGGAGAGCGGGGAGAGCGGGGAGAGCTCCCTAAGCCTGGGGGAGAGCGGAGAGAGTAGGGAGAGCGGGGAGAGCAGGGAGCGCAGGGAGAGCGGGGATGGGTTGGGCCGAGAGAACGGACAGTCAAACGCAGGCGGGAGGGGAGCAGCAAGCAAGTGAGCCATTAGACGCAAGGACTCTCGATCGAGACGCTGCGACGACTACTGTCGAGCACATAATGTGGAATACAAATTAATGCAGTGGCTGGCACGGGATAAGGCGCAGTGCGCACCTTGTACGGGCCGAGGAGGACTGTTGCGGCGAGGCTGCCCCAGCGGCGGCAACCAATCCTTGACGGGCTGGCGGGATGGGCGCGCGCGGAGGGGAAGGGGGCAGAAGGGGGGACATGAGTGGGGAGGTATGAACTGGAAGGTACGACGGAGATGGGGCGCAAGGGCAATGGCGGAAGGAAGCAGCGCGGAGTGATGGAACACCGGGGGGATGTATGGAAGTGGCGAAAGGAGGGGGCGGAGGGAGGGAGGTGCGACGGGAGGTCGTGAGAATAGGGGAATCGGGAAAAGAGGAATGGGAAATGGAAGAATCAGGAACGGAAGAACCGGGATAAAGGAGTCGGGAATAAAAGAATCGGGCGACAACCGAACGGAGGCGCACGTTTATTAAGCCGGCGGCGCTGAAGAGCGCGACGAGCAGCGCGGAGAAGATCATGAGCGCGAAGAAGAAGGCGCAGATGCTCTGCAGCCGAGGCGGCTCGCAGCAGTACGCGCACCACGTGTCCGACTCATCGCTGTCCTCCTCCTCCTCCTCCGTCTCCGAATCGTCGTCCCCATCTTCCTCCCCCTCCTCCTCGTTCTCCATCAGCCCTGGCCGTCGCCCGGCCCGCATCAGGCGCCGCCGTTCCTGCTCCCACAGCCGCCGGTCGCTGAGGGAGATTTTAGAGATGGACTTTAAGCGGCTCGGCGCGGACGCAGAGCCTTTCGGAGGCCGGGGCCGTCCGGTCGGTGTTACCCACTTCTCGCCCATGTGGCTTCCAACGTGGATCACGGGTGGATGCTGATGTGCGTTGAACAAGTCAGGGTCACGGGGGGGTTGAGGGGTTGATACTCGAACGGCTATGCGACGATCGGTTGTGCCGGGACTTGCTCGTGCAGCAATCTAGCACAGTACGGATTCGAGGGACACGGAAGGAGAGGAAACGACCGCCGGAAACTGATCGATGGGTGCTGCGTTGACGGAATCTGTCAACCGCTTTGGTTTCCTGAGCGTTCTTGATTGTCTTTTTGGTGGCGCGACTAGATTTTCTATAACGTAGGAAAAAGGTGGCTGATATCACAGCAGAAACGAGTTCTTAACTTGGCAGGCTCAGAGAAAAGGTGAGTCGACGGCATAGTGGTCAGGAAACCTTGATGTTGGAATTTGAGTGAGGCAAATTGCTTGGGACTTGCATACGGACCGAACAATCCAAAATTGCGAGATGGCTGCCACCGAAGCAACTGGAATGAAGCTATGGCTGACAGACAGCGGGGGGGGGTGATCAAGGTCCAACACTGAAGGTCTCGGCTGGTCGAAGAAGGTCGTGGCTCGAGAGTCGAGACGCTGCCTGCGGGGCGGAGAAGAACGAGGAAGTGCGGATGGGCGGAACGATGTGTTTGGTTGTGGCGTGGATTGCGTTGTGTCTGGGCATCTCATCTTGACAGGTGGTATACGCGCAAACACCCAAAAGAATGAGGTTATGAAAAAGCATTATCATCCACAATCTATGCTCAATTTTCACGTTCGTGCTGATTAGCTCTCACACGTCTTGGCACAAACGAAACGCATCCAAGTTCCACTCTTGGGGTTCTTGACATTCCTGATTTTCTCGGAACCCTCAGGCAAACAAATGGATTTTAGGGATGACATGTCAAGCTTGTGAGTGTCAACTTCTGGTTTTGACACTTCCCAACATTTTTGGCAGAGTGTCAACGACATGAAAACTGCCAGCCAGTAAATTTAGTCGGACATCCCGCTCTGCGAATCGTGTTCTCCAGCCAACTTAACTAGTAGGATCGAGAAATGCCCAATCGACGGATGTAAAGTCCTGTACGACTGCAAGGTCTTGCAAGAAATCGTGTGTGGATGTAAAGTTTTGTAAGACTGCAAAATCTTGCAACAAATTCGTGCCCAACCAATAAGGTTGCGTCGCAGGATTTGTGCTGCTCTTCGTTTTGACACTGAAGCTACAGTGCTTGACGCTCTAAACTCTACGCACTTCGTGTTGACACTGCCATGTTGACATGTCATCCCCACGGACACGAACTTAGTTGAGGTGACGAGTGGTTCCGAAGTACCAACCTTTAGGGCGCGTGTGGTCTTACAAATCTGTGAAAGTTGATGTTTTTAGATCGAATGTAGCATTTGAACAAAACTCGACTTTCCTTGCAGCGAAGTTCGAATCTTGGGTCCCAACACAGACGAGTCACAATCACACACCCAAGGTCGAACACAGAGATTCGACCTTTTAGGGAAGGCGACGAGCCGCCCGTAGGGGGTGTAGGTTACCTGGTACAGCACGACACGTCAAATTTGTGTGCGACAAACTCCGCGATCTTCGCAAAGCGTTCGTGATTTTCAGATGGCCTTCGTACGTGCTGAAACAACATACACTCGCCTCACGTGCACCCGTGTGATTCGAGCTGAGTTCACATTTGACATTCGCACTTATGTGCCCCCAAAATTCTCGTGCCTTCGCCAAAGCGTGTTGACGACATTGGCGAAGCTGGCAACCACCTGAGGCTCTACTTTTTTTTCCGTACTTGAAAATAGATCACACGCGCCCTTAGTGTCTTTGGAACGTTAAAGGGTCCCCTGCAGGTGTGATGTTGTGTGAAATGTGGGAAGTGAACTGGTAAACCCGGGGGAGGGGATGACGGGCTGGATTCGATTCGTATGCGCGGTCGGCTGACACACCAGCGTGAGTGCTGGGTGAGATGAGTGAGATGAACCGTGAAGCACTTCGACGATTTCTCGACGGACAACAAACTCCGCCCCAAAAACTGTCACAGAAAGCCCCTGTGGCCCGAGAAGCTGGTTCACTTGTCTCTCCACGGGCAGCCTAGTTGATCGGGGTTAGATCGCCTTCCTGCGAAGTCTGGACATGGACAGCCCCAAAAGTGCAGATTTTTTTGTCCACCCTGGCAGCTTCCATGTCTACCCCATGTGCAAGCCGATTCTGATGTGTGTGATCGTGAGGAGTATGCGAAACCTAACGCCCAATCAGATTTGCATGCGCGACTCAATTTACAGTCAGCGTTCGCAGCCCTAAACCCTCGACAGATTCTCGCCACACGTCAAAGGGTCTCATCGTGGGGAGTCTTCGCACGTTTAGGGTCTGTGAACTCACTCGATGTCCAGATTCGTTGCCTTCCACCTCATCACAATGACTACTCACCTGCACGTGCGAAGTGCACTTTTCGCTGTCCCTACTTCGAAGTTGGGACAGCCCAGGAAGGCAATCTTAGGATGGTTCCGGCGGGGCGTCTCAGTCTGACCAATTAAAATTTCTGACACCTGAGAGACGCGACGCGCGATTCCACAGCAGAATTGCTGACATGACCCCTGCGCTTGCGCCAAAACTTCCGAAACTCCAACTCATTACTGATACAGCACAAGCTGTCTACCAGCCATAGTCAGTGTACATAAATACTGCATTCTTCGTCCTGAAAACAAAAAATAACATCCTTTGTAAGGAAAATCTCCTTTTCCTTACTTCGCATCCCTGCTCAACGCATACATCAAAGTAGCACCACAGTCAGCACCGTTACCACTCGCAATCCTCGCATCGACAAATCCGCCCGCCACCTTCGCACGTCGCACCCCGACCTCACGGCTCGGCGGGTAACCCGCGCTCCGGGCCTCCGCTTCGACACTTTTCCCAACCTCAGTACCAGGCCCGTCGCGCGACAACCACACTCCATTACCGTTACCACTGTAGTTTCGCTATATATTCTTCGCTCATGCCTTCGCTCATTGAACTCTTGCTTTGATAGTGCAATTCTTGTTCGTTCACTCAATTGCACTCGTAACACTTGGTATTCAGAGCCTACGATCTCCTCTTGGACCGCACCCACACCTTCGCTTCCTCACTATCTCAATTTTTTGGGGGGGGTAGACGTCTCTCAGCGACACATCACCGCCGCTCGTAGTGCTCTCTTGTAAGCACGCACGGCCACGACCGAGGCTCTCGCTGAGCTCGCCCGACATCCCCGCCATGGCCGAATTCACGCTCGCCACATTGACGCAGTAGCAGCTTGACGGTCTGGTGCACCAACTTGAAGATTCGGCGCTCGAAATTGCGACGCTCACGGCGGAACGTGACTCCGCACGTCAGCAATCTACGGTGAACATTCCAGCACCACCACACGCACCGACAAATGCATCTGCACAATTGGACGAGCCGATCGTCATCTCGACCGGCACACCAATACAACACGACAGCGTGGGACAGCGCTCAGGCGCAGCCAGTGATGGCGCCGCCCAGCCGATGCCTGGCATGGGAGGAAACAGGGTCGCACCAAGCCCGCGGGAGCCTTGTGAAGCCCGTCGGCACGTTGAGTTCGCGGCGACAAGTGGCAAACAGACCATTATGGCACCCATGCCACTCAAGCCGCAACGCCCGCCCTGCTTCGACCCAAGCCAACGTGGAGGTCCGACGGTTCAAACGTGGGTTTTCACGATGAACGTCTTCTTCGACGCAAATTACGTCGAGTCGGACGCAGCGAAGATTCGGTATGCCGTTCCACTGTTAAGGGGCACTGCCATGGACTGGTGGCGAGTCATCGTGACGTCGCCACGCGCCTACGAGCCATCGTCGTAAGAGGAAGGGCCCACGGGTCCAGCTATCACCTAGAGTTCATTCTGCGAGACCGCCCAATATAGCACGTGGGATGCGGGCTTCGGGCGCGCTTTGAGCCGATTGCGGTGTCAAGGTGAGAGAGGAATGATGTCGACTAGTTTGGGGCATGGGGTACAAAAGTGACGAGAGAAAAGTTGTACCCCCTAAGAAACACCCCTACAAAACCTAAACCTAAATTATATAAATCATATAATTTGACACACCCCCATAGGTGAAGTAGGGGGATAGCCAAACCTAACAGGGGTCACAAGACCAGTTCACATGCAGGTTTATAACACAGCAAGAGATACAGTGATCACATCCTAGCAAAAGTAAACATGCAGGCATATATATATATAGTGATCACAGTACAAGCAGGGTCAAGAAGTAAGCAAGTGAGGTCCAGTAGGCACAAGGCCTAGCAGAGTGCAAAAGCGCTGATGGTCAACAGGCGGAAGCGCCTTGGTGAACACATCAGCAGTGTTGGCCTCAGTGGCCACGTAACGCAGACAAAGCTGACCACGCTGCTGCAGCTCTCGAGCAAGAAAGTACCGCAGAGCAATGTGCTTCGTTCTGTGCTCCAGTCTATGCTCCTGACACAAGGCAATGGCAGCCTTGTTGTCGACGTACAGCACTGGAGGAGAACCAGGCCGCTCTCCAAGGTCGGTCAGCAGGTAGGTCAGCCAGCGTAGCTCCTGGGCAGCCATGGCTGTGGCGTAGATCTCAGCCTCACAACTGGAGCTGAGAACAGAAGAAGAGCGTGTAGAACGCCAGGAAACTGAGCCTGAGCCAAGGCTGAAGGTGTAACCCTGTGACGACCGCTGAGTAGCCTGGTCGTCTGCCCAAGAAGCGTCTGAGTGCCCTGTGAGAACAGGCCGGTCTCGCCCTCCAAGCACTAGCCCCATGCCCGACGTACTGCACAAGTAGCGCAACACCCTCTTAGCTGCATCCATGTGCTCCTTCCGGTGACGGCCGGGAGCGACATAGCGTGCAAGGATGCTAAGAGGGTATGCAAGGTCAGGTCGTGTGCAGGTCATCAGGTACATGAGGCAACCCACAAGCTCTGGATACGGGCCACTCGGCTCTACGGACTCATCCGAAGGCAGAGCTGAGAGCGAGTGTCCCGTAGGCAGAGGAGTGGGCTGAGGCGAGGAGTACGTGAAGCGGAAGCGCTGAAGGACCTGCTGCACCATGTGTGACTGAGTCAGGGTGATGGTGCGCCGTGCTCTGTCCCGGGTGATCCGCAAGCCAAGGTAGCTTGTCAGTTCACCCAGGTCTGTGCACGTGTGTCTCTTCTGCAGCTCCAACTTGACGTGGGCGAGACCAGCTCTGTCCGCTGTGGCAAAGACCAAGTCGTCGACGTACACGAGGATGTAGAACGGCGGCAGCGAGGTGTCGGTGCGTAGAAACAGCGACGGGTCAGCAGTAGAGGGAGCAAACCCAAGAGCCGCAAGTGTCGTGCTCAGTGTGTCGTGCCACTCACGCGGTGCCTGGCGGAGACCGTAGACCGGCCGCTGAAGCCTCCACTGGGTGCCAGGGGGAACCGACCCAGTGAAGCCAGGAGGGCGGCGCAGCCAGATCTCCTCGTGCAGGCTGCCCTGCAAGAAAGCTGTGCTGAAGTCAAGAGAGTGAAGCTCGTAGTCGCGCTGAGCGGCTATGTGCAGCAGCACCCGAAGAGTAGTCATCTTCGGGGTGGGGGAGAAGGTCTGAAAGAAGTCGACTCCCTCTCGCTGACTGAAGCCCCTAGCCACGTAGCGCGCCTTGAAGACAGGCGGAGAACCCGGCGGTCGCTTCACCCTGAAAATCCACATGCCACTGACGATGTTCGCCCCAGGAGGGGGAACCTCGTCGACGTAAGTGCCAGTGGACTTCCAGGAAGCCATCTCTGCGTCCATGGCTGTCTGCCACTGAGAGGAGTAGGGACCCGCCATCGCCTCAGTGTAGGAGCGCGGGGTCGGGATGTCTGGTGCATCCGGGTCTCCCTCAGGGGCAACAAGCATGGACACGAGATGAGGCACAGCAGCAGCAAAGCAGTGAAACTCCTCCTGTCTGTCCTCAAGGACGTCCGTGCCAAGAGCACACTCACCCCCGACGGACGGAGGACAGGCTGACTCAGACTCAGCAACTAGGCTAGCAGCGTAGTCCAGGCGACAGCGAGAAGCAAAGTCAACCAGCTCAGCGACCAGAGCAGACGCAGCAGCGGACTCAAAAGACGGGTCAGTGACGACAGTAGCGAGAAAAAGCGTGACAGTGGGACTGGCAGCACGACGGGAGTCAGACTCCGGGTCAGGAAGAGTAGGCAGCGAAGACTCAGGAGGAGACGGCAGCGGGACACGCTGCGGAGCAGTGGAGGGACGCAGAGTCATGTAGTGAGTGCCCAGGACAGGAGGAGGACGCTCACGCGGGGCACGACGACCGGTGCGCGCAGTACGGACAGGCGACGCTGGACGTGACTCAGGCGCACGACGCTCAGTAAGGCCTCCCGTGGGACCAGTGTAGGGAGAGGGACCAGGGAGAGGGGAGGCGGGCGGTAACTGTGACTGCGACTGGACTGGCGTGAGACCAAGAACCTGCTGAAGGAGCGGGACAAAGTAGGGTCGCGGCCGCGTAGCGGCTCCAGAACCAGTAGAGACAGCAGCGGCGGGGTCCTCAGCACCAGCGACAACGCCAACGTCCGGGTCCGCAGCACCAGCAGCAGCTCCAACGCCCGGGTCCTCAGCACCAGCGACAACGCCAACGTCCGGGTCCTCAGCACCAGCAGCAGCTCCAACGCCCGGGTCCTCAGCACCAGCGACAACGCCAACGTCCGGGTCCTCAGCACCAGCGACAACGCCAGTGTCCGGGTCCGCAGCACCAGCAGCAGCTCCAACGCCCGGGTCCGCAGCACCAGTGACAACACCAGCGTCCGGGTCCGCAGCACCAGCAGCAGCTCCAACGCCCGGGTCCTCAGCACCAGCGACAACGCCAACGTCCAGGTCCTCAGCACCAGGGGCACCACTCCGGAGACTGCAGCGCCGCGCGTACCACTCTCGGATCTGCTGAATGGGGGGGAGCTCCTGGGCAGGAGGGGAAGTACTGGGACGAGCTCCAGAAGCTCCGCTCCGGAGGCGGCAGTACTGTAGGTACCTCTCCTGCAGCTGCTGGGAGGAGAGAGCTCCTCCAGACGTAGTGCGCTCAGGCTCAACACCCCCAGACGCAGCACCCCCAGTCGCCACACCCCCAGGCTCCGCACCCCCAGGCTCAGTACCCCCAGGCTCCGCACCCCCAGGCTCGGGACTGTCAGGCTCCGCACTCTCAGGCTCAGCACCTCTGGCAGGGCGGGACTCGACAGCTACCTCAACAGGGTCAACCGGGTCTACCTGGGACACACCTGAGGGAGCGGCACCCTGAGGGGGGAGGGGGTCTACCACAGCAGCACCTGGTGCGAGGAAGAGCGGCGGTGGGGGGAGTGGGGCAGTGCGGTAGGGGAAGAGGCGGTAGAAGGGGACAGACTCGTCAAAAGTGACGTCCTGAGAGGCCAGAACCCGGCGCGAGGCGACGTGGTAAAACTGCCAGCCAGGCGCGTCGGGGACAAAGCCAAGAAAGACACAGGGAACAGCGCGACGCGAGATCTTGTCCGCAGACGTATCGCGGACAAAGGCTCGGGATCCCCACACCCGGAAACGCGACGCATCACCAACCTCTCCCGTCCACCGCAGAGTCGGGGAAGTCTCCGGGAAGGAGACACGGGGCCAGAGGTTGAGCTGATGCGCTGCGTAACGGACCGCAAACGGCCACAGAAAGTGGGGAGCAGCCGCATGGGTCAGGGAGGTACGAGCGACCTCCATGACCAAGCCAATGCGGCGCTCAGGGACCCCATTCTGCTGTGGAGAGGCCGGAAGCGTGAACGACTGCTCCATGCCGTGCTCAGCACAGTAGGCTGCCAAGAGGTCGGAGGCGAACTCACCACCTCTGTCAGAGTGCAAGCGTAGGACTGGAAAGTCCGAGCGAAAGCGCTTGCCTAGCTGGAGACGGGCTCGGCTGATCCAGGGGATCAAGACATCAGGGACGTCACCCTTGCTGCGCAAGGGGAAGACCGTGGTGTAGCGCGAGTAGTCGTCGACAACTATCAGGAAGTACCGCTCCTGACCCTGACCACGGACGCGGGCTGGGCCCCACACGTCCATGTGTAGCGTCTGAAAAGGAGCAGTCGTCGGGGGGAAGGAGGAGGAGTGGGGAGCGGCGCGCTGCCGCCCCTCAACACAGGGAATGCAGTCGGGAGCAGGTGAGGGGGGGAGGGGAGGGAGAACCCGAGGGAGACCAGAGACAAGCTGCCGCTTGTGCATGGCACGAAGGCGCTGCACAGACGGGTGGCCAAGTCGGTGGTGCCAGAGGACAGTGTCGTGCGCCAGAGAGCGACACGAGCAGGGGGCGGACAGCTGACCTGACGCCGACGCAGACGCGGACGCAGCTACCTGAGGGGACTCAGTGGTCAGTGTGTACAGGTCCGACCCCGGCTCCCGAGTAAAGGTAGCCAGGTGGCGACCCGTCCGGGCACACGTGCAGTGGGTCACTCGCTCGTAGGCAGGGGTGGTCTGGTGAACACCCCCATCCTGTAGCTCACATCCTGCCACCAAGTTCGTAGAGAACGAGGGGAGGTAGAGACCCGACAGCGTGCCGGACGGGACTGCAGGACAAGGGAGGACAGTGGAGTGAGTCGCAACGACTGGACCCCCAGTGGGGTCAGCTAGCGAGACTGCAACCGGCCGAGCAAGAGGCTCAAGGACAGTGCGGTCACGAAAGAAGGAGCGGGAAGCACCTGAGTCAAGAGTGAAGGTGTGGAGTGCGGCGGTCGGCTCAGTACCAGGGGCGACTGGGGCTATAGCACCTAGGGCAGCAGCCTCACCAGGACCTGGGGCAGCAGACACACTAGTACCTAGGGCAGCAGCCTCACCAGGACCTGGGGCAGCAGACACACTAGTACCTAGGGCAGCAGCCTCACCAGAACCTAGGGCAGCAGACACACTAGCACCTAGAGCAGCAGCCTCACCAGAACCTGGGACAGCAGTCTCACAAGTACTGAGAGCGGGAGCCTGACAAGTCACAATGCCCGGGTCGGGCGGAACACGCAGGTACTGAGCACTCTCTCCACTAATAGACATCGCATACATGGCAGTGAGAATAGCATCAAAGTCTAAAGCCCAAATATCAACACCCTTCTTTTCCAGCTCAGGCCAGTGGGGCAGCTCAGCACCCCCAGGAAACTGGGCGCGCCACGCGTCAGTAAGGCGCTGGTAGCAGCGCTGCGTGGGGTGCGGCCTCCCACACGGCAGGCCCTTGCGGTCACCAGTGCGGTGGACGTACGTGCAAGTGGAACCACGCTGTGCGTACCACTCACGGGCGGCCTGGAGGGTCGGGGCGTGCTGCTGACCCTGGCCACCACCAGCGTCTCCACGACCACCACCGCCACCGCCACCGCCTCGGCCACCTCCACCCCTGCCGCGACCACGACCACCACCGCCGCCGCTGCTACCGCCGCTGCCGCCACTACTCCCGCCGCCGCTGTCACCACCCCCACTGCCACCACCAGTGTCTCCAGACCCACCGCCACCCCCACTGCCGCCACCCCCACCGCCCCCGCCTCCACCCCCACCCTTGCCCCCCCTGCTCTTGCGACGCCCGCTCGAGGCAGACGCAGCCCCGACCTTCTCAGCACCAAGGAGGTCGACAGCAGCAGCAGTGGCGACAGAGGGGAGAAGGGGGGAAGGGGAACACCCCTCAAAGAAGGGGTGGCGGGGCTCGCCACGAGAGGCACCTACGGCGACGATGCTCGCCTCAGCTGCAAGTAGATCCTTCTCAAGGATGGCGATGGTGAGCTCAGTAGGGGAGCGAGCAAGAAGAGAGTCCCTGACTGCGCGCAGTGAGTCAGGGAGGCGGGTGACAATGTGGTAGAGCGTGAGCCAGAGCGGTGGGGGGTTGCTGGCGAGGAACTCGGCAGGCATAGCAGCGCGAAAGCGGGCCTCACTGGTCTTAAGGTGAGTAATGAGATCGGCAACGGTCTGAAAAGAGGCCAGGTCAGGGAAGAGGTAGGGTAGGGTGAGGCGGCCTAGGGTGGCAGACGCAGGCGAGGAGTAGCGGGCAACGACGGCTGTGTACAGGTCCTGAGCAGTCTTGCACTGGCCGAAGTGCTCGCGCTCATCTAGCGGTAGCGAGTTGCGGATAGCAAAGCGAGCATGCGCGTCGCGGGTCTGCCACTGGGAGCGTAGCGTGCTGGCAGCAGAGGAGTCAGGGGCAGTAGCATGGCCGAGGGCATGATCATACAGGGAGATGTCTTCCTTGGCAGTGAGCTGTAGGAAGAGGTGGAGATCCTCAAGCCAGGTGTCAAATTTCACTGGGCGACCCTCAGCATCGAAGGCTAGGACAGGAGCGCTAGCCATGATAGCAGGAGGAGGAACAGTCGAAAATGGAAGGATAACAGGAACAGCAGCAGTTGGGACAGCTGCGGCAGTTGCTGCAGTTGAGTCGGCGACGGCAGCTGCTGCAGGAGGTGCGGCTGTTGCCGCTGCTGGAGATGCGGAGGCGGTCGTTGCTGGGTCGGCGGCGGCCACTGCTGCAGAGGCAGCGGCGGCTGATGCTGATGTAGCTACGGCGGCCGCTGCAGGAGATAGCGGCGGCTGCTGCTGCAGAAGATGTGGCAGCTGCTGCTGCAGTAGATGCTGCGGCGGCTGCTGGTGAAGATGCGGCAGTTGCCGCTGTAGGATGTGGCGGCGGCTGCTGCTACAGTAGATGCGGCAGTTGTCGCTGCAGGAGGTGGCGGCGGCTGCTGCTGCAGAAGGTGCGGCAGCTGCTGCTGCAGGAGATGCTGCGGCGGCTGCTGCTGAAGATGCGGCAGCTGCTGCTGCAGTAGATGCTGCGGCGGCTGCTGCTGAAGATGCGGCAGCTGCTGCTGCAGTAGATGCTGCGGCGGCTGCTGATGAAGATGCGGCAGCTGCTGCTGCAGGAGATGCTGCGGCGGCTGCTGCTGAAGATGCGGAAGGAGCCGCTGGAGAAGATGCAGCAGCTGCTGCTGTTGTAGATGCAGCGGCGGCTGCTGCTGAAGATGCGGCAGTTGCCGCTGAAGAGGGTGCAGTAGTTGCTGCTGCTGGAAATGCAGCGGCAGTTGCTGCAGAAGAAGCGGCAGTTGCTGCTGCTGAAAATGCAGCGGCGGCTGCTGCAGACAATGCGGCCGTTGATGCTGCAGGAAATGACGCGGCGGCCGCTGCAGAAGGTGTGGCTGCGGCTGCTGCTGGAGATGCAGCGGCGGCTGCTGCAGATGGCGCGGCGGCTGCTGCTGCTGCAGCTGCAGTGGCGACCAGGCCGCAAACCGGCGGCAACAAGGCCGCGAATCGGCGGCGACGAGGCCGCGGCTGGGCGGCAGCGACGCCGCAAAAGGCGCGACAGAGTCACGACACGGCCGTGGAAAAAAAAAAAAGGAGGGGGGGGAGGCCGTGAGAGAGTCGCGCGGGGCCAACAAAGGGGCCGGGAAAAACGAAGAAAGAAACGGCCGCAATTGGCCGTCGAGGAGAAAGCGCCCGTGGCGCGACTAGGGGAAACGCAAAGCGCGCTCCGGGCAGAAAAAAATTTCTTAAACGTGGTGGGCCCTTCCTAGGAACCTTCCTGCTCTATACCATGTCAAGGTGAGAGAGGAATGATGTCGACTAGTTTGGGGCATGGGGTACAAAAGTGACGAGAGAAAAGTTGTACCCCCTAAGAAACACCCCTACAAAACCTAAACCTAAATTATATAAATCATATAATTTGACATGCGGCTTCTATTTCGGCGCGTCAGAGATTGCGCACTTGGCGGCAGCTCGGGCCGGCTCAAGATTACACGAGCGGTTTTCTCGCACTTTGCGAGCAGGTCGGCTACATGCACGAAGCGGAGCGGGTGGACCGTTACGTCGGAGGGCTGAAGCCGGATATCTCGCACGAAATCATGGTGCGCGAAATCTCAAATTTCAACGAGATTCTCGCGCTCTCCGAGAAAATCGACATTCTACGCCGACCGAGACCGGGGACCTACTACGGACATCGTCCTCGGGGACCGATCGAGCACGCCACTGTAAACAATGTTGCGACGAATGCAGCTCCCGCACCGTTTAAGGGGCGCTGCTTTGCTTGCAACAGGCCGGGCCATCGCAAGAGCGAATGCCTAGAGGAGCTAAGGCGCCGCGGAGCAGAGCAGGGGGGGAAGTCTCAGAGGCAGGGAAACGCTAGCAGTCAGTAGAAGTTGGGCCAACTACTGACGAGACTGCCTGCTCGCCCAACCACACCGACCCTCACTAAGTCACAGTACCGATTCACGCCATCGATCGGGCTCGGATGAATAAGGAGGGTACAGCAACGGATTGCCCAGTACTGATCCACGGAAAACTACAGGGAGCAGCATTCGTGAGAGAAGCGGAGCAGCCAAGCGATTTTCAGAAAAGGTAGAGCGAGTCAAAGTCCACTGCGGGGGAAATTTCGGATTTACACAGGAAATGCTTGCAACGACACTGGATGGGCACGATATTTTACTGGGACGTGATTGGCTGTGACGGTATAACCCGCGAATTGACTGGACGACGGGTAGCTGCACCGTGCGAAGTAGTGGTAACTGGGTCGAGCTACCTCGCTGGCAGTCGTCCGAGTTTTCAGCGGTCCACGTCAACGCCATCACGATGAAACGGGTTGTCGCCGCTGGAGCTGACGTGTACGCAGTAGATATAGCATTAGTGAGAGAAGCGGAGCAGCCGAGCGATTTTCAGAAACTGTTGGCAGCAGTACCGCCCGAACTACAGGAACTGTTGAAACGGTACCCGGGGATTTTTCCAGACGACTTACCGGAAGGGCTGCCACCTCAGCGGGCGCATGATCATAGGATCGAGTTAGAACCTGGGGCACAGCCAACTGTACAGCGCCAGTTCAGACTGACACAGCCCGAGCTCGACGAACTAAGGAAGCTATTAGATTATTTGTTAGAGAAGCAGTTTATTCGACCAAGTTCGTCACCGTTCGCCGCACCGATACTGTTCACACCGAAAAAAGACGGAGGGTTTCGCATGTGCATCGATTACCGAGCGCTCAACAGGGTAACAGACAAGTCGCGGTACCCCATTCCCTGCGCCGACGAACTGATCGACCAAGTACGAATAGCACAGGTGTTTTCGAAAATAGACTTACGGGGGGGTTACCATCAGATTCGGGTCGAACCATCGGACTGCGCCAAGACAGCATTTAGGACAAGGTACGGGTCGTTTGAGTACACGGTGATGCCTTTCGGGCTGACCAACGCGCCCGCAACATTTCAGATGACCATGAACAAGGCGTTTAGACCACTCTTAGATAAATGCGTGATCGTTTACCTCGACGACATCCTCGTCTACAGTCGCGACAAGCAGCAGCATTTAGCGGATCTCGAAGCAGTATTTGAAGTTTTAGAGGAACATCGTGTCAGAATAATATATAACTCTATATATTGTTTTGTAACTGCCTGTAGTGTAGAATACTGTAGTCATAGAAGTTTCTGTTTGGTGGTGCACCTTTCTTGTTTGTTCTTTCCTATTTGTACCCTCGCTCAATATTGAATCACCCTCTTTTGTCAAACTCTCTCGACCCCTTCCTCTCGTCACTCTCGTTCTACCCAACACCCTAGTGCCTAAGTCTTAACTACTTCTGAGATGGTATCGAGCTAGATTTCGATCAATGGGCCCACCAATTTTCGACCCTGTCATGGCGGCCCTCCCTCCCAACGACTTTCTACTGCGATCGGGCCGTCAGTGCGACCGTCGCGTGAAAATCCGCGACGGTTTCGATCGTCAGTGCGATCGACGGGGCGAAGGCGGCGCTCTGCTCGTCGCACTGCCTCGTCGCCCCGTCGTTCGCGGCCACGCTGCCCCGACGTCGCCTCGTCGCGCCTCCGTTTGGGCCCCCTATTCCGCTCGTCGCGCTCGAGCAGCTATCCCCGCCCACCCTCCCGCGGTCCCCACTGCAGCTGTCGCACTTGCTGCTGCCGTGCGCGCTCCTACTGTGGGGGGAGGTCGTGGGAGTGGGGGACCATGGGGGAGGTGGTGTGTCGGGGCGACCGCTGTGAGCAGTCTGCAGCAGCTGCCGTCATCATTTGTCGCCCCATACGCGACTGTCGCTGTGGGGGGGAGGGTAAAAGGGTGGCGGGAGTGTACCCGCAGGAACCAACCGATGCCCTCCTCTCTCCTCTCTCTCCCTGCAGCGCCTGTCGCTGTGGGGGATGGGGGGGAGTGTGAGGGGTTGGTGAGAGAGATTTTGCAGCACCAACAGCCGTCCCCCCTCCTCTCTCTCTCACTGCTGCGTTTGCAGCTGTGGGGGGGAGGGTGAGAGAGGGTGGCGGAAGACAGCCGGGTATCTGCTGCTGCAGCCCGCTGCTACTTTGGCACCTCCAGCTGTCGCCCCTGTCGCCACCTGCCCTGTTTTCCGTTTTCTGCTACTGGGGCCTGCAGGTGCTGCCGTCGAGCCGCTGCTGTCCTGCTGCCTGATGCAGCCACAGAGCCTGCTCCTCAGGCGACCTGCCGCCTCCCACACCTGTTACTACTTCTTCCTTGGCTGAGGGTTGGCTACAGCTGTTTCTGCCACTTTTGCACCGGTTACCACTGCTTTTGCCTGCATCTGTTTCTTCCGCTGCACCTGTATGGTGTACCCCATTATGGGGGCGTTGACTGCACTTTCTTCCCTACAGGCACTTATGGGGGCGTGTCAGAATAATATATAACTCTATATATTGTTTTGTAACTGCCTGTAGTGTAGAATACTGTAGTCATAGAAGTTTCTGTTTGGTGGTGCACCTTTCTTGTTTGTTCTTTCCTATTTGTACCCTCGCTCAATATTGAATCACCCTCTTTTGTCAAACTCTCTCGACCCCTTCCTCTCGTCACTCTCGTTCTACCCAACACCCTAGTGCCTAAGTCTTAACTACTTCTGAGACATCGGCTAGTCACCAAGGGCTCTAAAAGTGAGTTTTTTTCAGGACAGACTAGAATTTTTGGGGCACGTTATTTCGGAGGCTGGAGTTGAATGGACTCTAAGAAGCTGGATACGATAAAAGCGTGGCGTCCCCCGACGAACATCACGGAACTGCAGAGTTTTTTAGGGTTCTTTAATTATGTTCGTCGGTTCGTCCCCGACATGGCACAATTGACCGCCCCGCTGACGGATTTACTGCGAAAGGGGGTCGTTTTTACGTGGGGGGAGAAAGAGCATGCTGCCTTCTCTGCCCTGAAAAATGTTCTCTGTTCACCGCCCGTCCTGCGCATCGCCGACCCACACCGCCCCTTTGAGGTTGTTACAGACGCAAGCGACATCGCCATTGGAGCCGTACTGCTACAGGACTTCGGCACCGGCCTACAGCCCATCGCATACGAGTCACGAAAACTGCATCCGCCCGAGA